AGGGCTGTTTGCACCATGTCTAGTTAATTCTAACTCCCAGTTAAACATCTTTATCGACGTTATCGACACCCATCATATAACATGTGATCGATAAAGCAGTTAACGTGCTTAACTGAAGGATGTACCTCCTGTTAGCGTTAACTAGACATGGTGCAAACGGCCCTTAGGGCCGGTTGCTCAAAGCCTGGTTGACACTAATCATCGGTTGAACATCATTATCGATGTTACCGACACCGTGTTATATGCATGGAGTCGAAGACGTCGATAACAATGTTTAACCGCAGATTAGTGTTAACCAGACATTGAGTAACCGGCTCTTAGAGAAAATTATGGCTATTTAAATAAGGGACATGGCGCCTTTCAAACGCACCTAAACTATTACGTATCTTTGTATGCGTAAGAGTCTGTTAGCACCAACAAAGGCAGTGCCATTATCAGGTCGCGGCAGGGACCTCGTCGGCTGACGAAACGGGTGCAGGCACCAAGGAAAGCCATCCACTACTTCGATGTGTACGGCTTTGGTGGCCATGCATACGAAGATGGCTGGGTACGATCCGCAGTGTAAAAGGCCACAGTTTCCACCCCAGACGAAACAAACGGTCTCGCGGGTTTGATCATTGAGAGTATTCTAGTGCACGAGGACAAACCTGACCTGGACTTCGAGTGTCGAATCTCAGCGAAAAAGTGTTCCCCTTGCTCTAGACGGACTAGCGTGTACAAGGCGTCATCTAGTTCTGAGGCGCTTACCACAGATTGACGAAAGTGTAGATATTACTTCAACCTCTGTACCCAGTAGGCGTTGAATGAAACTAAACCAGGTTGTCAATAACATAATTCGATGCCTAGCACACCAGGTCCATGGCACCAAAGCGGGTGAATTAAGAGTTCTTCGAGTGTAAGGCCTCTGCTGGCACAATGAGCAGGGTTCTGTGCTGAACGAACGTGGTACCATCTTTCGGGGGATGTCCTGTATCCAGCGAACCCGGTTGGATATGAATGGCTTAAGTGTTGTTGGATGCTTCTTCAACCAGCACAAAACGAGCATCCATCAAGCCCAGTGCGTCCTGAACATTTTGAATAGTTTCAGCCAACAGTAATGCCGCCGACAGTTCCAGGAGGGGTACAGTAGCGCCCTTCAGAGGTGCCCCCTGCGTGCGTGCAGTAAGAAGTGAAATGTGCGCAACATCGCCTACGTCTACAGTCTTCGTATACATAACGGCAGCATATGCTTGTGAGATGGTATCGCAAAAGCCATACAACTTTGTCTGAACACGCTGAATCATGCCCATCCAGCGGTCGATGCGGATCTTATTGAGCCCCTCTAGCTTGGGGCGGTACTTGAGCCATGAAAGATCGTCAGGTAGTTGAGAGTCCCAAGATAGACCCGCAGCCCACATCCTCTAGATGAACACCTTTCCAGTTACAACGACCCAGCGGGATCAAAGAGACGCGCCATTTCGCTAAATACTCGTCTCTTCGTGGGAGCCTCGGATGATTGGTTTAGGTAGCCTTGGAAAACTAGCTGACCGTAACTGCGTCCCATCTTATGCCTCATACGGAAGCCACACCACACAAGTATAACTGAATAGTGACGGTTCTTGGCGTAAATTTTCCCGCGGATAAAATGGTATCTACGTTTGTGGCCAGTCCCACTGCACCGGCAGCGCTCTCACAACTGCAGAGCAATCATCGACGTAAAACGAGGTTAAAATTGCATCTCGAGCTAAGTCTGCCTGCCGGCTATCCGGAACTTCGCACTGCGTTATATGGACTGCAAGCCATATGTAATGGTGTTCAATGGATATGCGCGAATACCGTCCCGCCAAATAATCCTCTGATAGTCTCGATGCTCCGGTGCAATCAACACTTGCCTGAACATTTTCTCGATGTCGGCAGTTATCGCCACTCGAAAACGAAAAAGTATGCTTCTAAGCAAGTCATTAAGCGCTGGGCCCACCAGTTGAATATCGTTTAGGAAGACTCCCGTGCTGGTCGGCGCCGAAGCATAGAACACCACGCGGAATCTGGTGGTAACCGCATGATGAGGAATAGAGTAGGAATTGCTATGGTGATAC